CTAGTCAAGTAAGTTTGAAAAAACAAAACAATAGTTGAAAAGATGAACTGAAAAGATGATCTTTGTTGATAAAGGCGGTAACGTATTGATAAGCTTATCAAGCCCTTTGGTGATTGGGTAGGGGCTGAGGAGAGAGCTCTATGCCTGGTTTGTTTTTTGTCCGTTTCAGCCAAGACCGTTTCACTGATGAAATTAGGCCAGTGGACCATTTCTTAAGGGGATCAAGGAGGGAAAGATGTGCATGGGGAAGGCTTAGGTCTCCTCTGAGAGGTCGATGGATGAGCTTGTGGAGGTTTCCAAGGTATGAAAAATCAGCTTCTCTGTCCAGAAAAATAGGAGAAGCTGTCTTCTTTTTAACCTTTCTAATTCCCCTTCTATTCTCTGTGACATTCATTCAGCTGCCAAGAGCGTCTGGCAAGGTTTGGGCCAGCGAGCACACTTTCAGTGACCGCTAACCTTGGTATGTCCTGACACTTATGATGAGTGTCTGCAGGACACAGAAGGCAGGCAGCCTGCTATGTCAGGCTTTTATTATGTACTGCAGAGGCTAGGGACAGTCAGTTTAATAAAACAAATCATCCTTGAAGGTAAAGCAACTGGGAAGAGGAGGAAGACAGGGGGAAAATGTGTCTTTGCCACTCATTCTGATTTAAAAAAAAAAAAAAAGAAAGAAAATCAGGAAGAAGAGCAAAACAAGCGCCCACCCAACACACTGTGTACGTGTGCGTGTGCGCGCTTCTGCACATAACCAAGCCACCGGCTGAGCAGACTTGAAAACATCCACCTATTCCCCTTTTTCATCAAAGACCACAGGGCTCACTTGGGCTGTGAGGAGACTCAAGTACAAATGATTGTGATGAAATTGGTAGATGCTGCTAGCCAGCCCCTTCAAATTTTTGAGTGTCTTCAAGTACCTCATGGCAATATTATTCTCCTCCGAATATCAAGGCAAGGAGAGGCAAGACCATGTAGGGTGAGGCTCCTATATTGGGATGCCTTTTATCAGAGCAGAGTTTCCACTCTCCTCTCCTGAAGAACACTCAGCACAGCAGCTCCCACAATAGCCTCCGAGTCCCAGCCAGAGACTTTGGAAGCCTTTTGTTTTTCCCCTGTGGCATGTCCAAAGGCATGGCCCTCCCTCCCCCTCCCGGCAGCCTGCATTGTCTTGCATTCCAGGGGCTTGATTGACTGTTGCCACCTGATGCTGAGGAGATGCTCTAGGGTTCATTCTGCACATTGTTGGGTTCTATTAAAAGAAACCTAGATAAGGGATTACTTGTCACTAAGGGATTTTCTGCAGATGTTTATTAGTGATTGGAAATCCATTAGGTGTGAAGAGGTACAGAAAAATATGGGCAGTATCATTCTCTGAATTCTAAGACACCCCCCAAAACATCAGAAAATACCCTCCCCCAACTTACTGTGTTAAATGGAGTTGGGGGAATTGGCTAGCAGAGGTAAGGATCTCTTTTAACATGGGTGATATTTCTACCTGAGGATGGAATTCCTTGGCAGTCTCTCAGAAGATCAGTTGCTACCCATCCATTTACTTCTCTAGAGCCACCAAAAAAGATTAATTGCTCTAGTATTAATGGATCTCATTATAACTTTATTTTATCTAGCCCAATTTGTTGCATGAGTATTGCCTCAAAGTAAGCACTAAATCAGCAAACCATTTCATTTGTTTGCAAAGAATCCATCCCTTCCCAAACATAAGCCCCAAACGAAAGTCTCCCCCTGGGATCCTTTGTACTATCCCCATTAATTTTGAAGTTACTAACTCTTTTGTGGCTTTTCTCAGTCACAGATCCACAGCTTGTCCAGGTTTTGATGCCTCAGATAACTAGGAATAACACAAATGCGTTAAAAAGGAGCCAGCATGATTTCATGGAAAGGCACCTGCACGACACTTTTTTTGCACAAACTTTTCAATCTCATAATTTCTTCATCTCGTAGAATCTCATAGTTTCTTCATCTGTGAAATGAGGATTTCTGAGATCGGGTCCAACTCTTGAAATTCCACCTGATTTTAAAATCCCTTTGTGCTCAGTGTTGAGGGAGAAGATGTGCTGCTGAAGGAATGTGGAGTCAAGCAGAAAGCAAGATCTCATTATGAACTATCGATCAAAGGCTATTTAGCAGAACACTGTTAAGCATTGTGGAGGGTGTGCAGAATAGAAACCATGGCTCTTTATCTAAAGACATCTCATGATCAATTCATTACAACTAGATATAAGTAGGTGAAAAGTTAAGTAACATCAAGACAGACACAGGCCTGGCCAGTGTAGCTCCGTTGGTTGGGCATCATCGCATGCATGGAAAGGTCGCTGGTTCATTTCCAGGTCAGGGCACATGCCCAGGTTATGGGCTCCATCCCCAGTATGGGGCATGCAGGAGGCAACCTATCGATGTTTCGCTCTCACATCAATGTTTCCCTCTCTCCCTCTCCCTTCCTCTCTCTCTAAAAATCAATTTAAAAATTAAAAAAAGAGAAAGAGAGATACAAAAGGTGTTAAAGGACAGCCCAAGAGTACTACCAAAAGAAATGAATGTTTAACACAGGATAAAACCCACTGAAAACCATCAACAAGCATAGCAAGTGATAAGAATGGTAAGGTGGAGACGGCACAACCCCCTAGAGAAGTTACTTTGATTTGTTCTCAGGCAAACCCTAGAACTATTCCTTTCTCCCCCTCTAGCGCTGAGGCTGTTGTAGATGTAGAATTGCTCCTGTTGCTCCACCCCTGGCTCCCAGACCTCCTGTGGGGTCCTGGGAGTGGGCGGGGCTCCCAGCCCTCTGGCTTGCTCTGGAGCGCTGGCTGACCTTCTGGCTCGCAGCTCTCTCTGTGCCCTGCCTGTTGCAGAGCATTCAAGAAACAGAGATGCTCCTCGTGGCTCTGTTGCCAATGGCCAGTAAAACCACACTTCTTAAAATGTTTATTTTAGTAAATGCCTATGATTATGTTTCTGTAGCATTTGGCTAACAGCTCCCAAACCAAGTAGTTAGAGTGGGTAGCTGTGCTGCCTAACTGTTCTCCAGCCAGATTTCCTCTCAATAATGCCCATCTGATCAAACGGGAAGGATTATCTATGGGGGAAGAGGGGAAGAGTACTGGGCAAAACTGCTTAACGACTTTTTATTGAGTAGAAGGTGAGTGGGAGTGCTAAGCTCTCCTCCAGGCCCCTCCCATCCCACAAGTAGTCACGGATATGAAGAAAATTTAGGGGAAATCACCAAAATTCTGTAGAAAATCCAGAGGACTTCTCAGCAGGGAACGGCCATTGGGGTAGACGGGCTTGTACATTGATGGGGACAAGGCTGGGTTTTGATGGTTTTCCAGGCAGCATTGGGAACACACTGAGGAACTGGCCAGTGTGTATGTCTTTGGGAGGGGCTACTCAGATTTCTCGCTTTTTCTAGAATCTGATCAGCCTTATCTGGGACCCTTTTTTTTTTTCTTTCTGGGGAGTTTTTAGACTTCTTTCAAAGGACAAGTGACTTGCCATGGGAAGCACTGAATTTCTTTATCTGCCTTGAAATGTTTAAAACAGTCTGTGTAAAAATGGCGATCGTTCTAGCTTTCTGTAATGGTTACTATCATTCTAGAAAGGTCCACTGCACAAATTGAGAAAAGGTGGGGGAAAAGGATCTAATATGTTCAACAGGACAGTACCTCCCTTTAGTTGGATAAGTGGCATCTCTGAACTGAGATGAAAATCTTCCACCTCTTACATGCGTAGACAGATCTGTCTATATGTACGACCATAGGGCATTGACTTCTTCATACATCTTCTCTTACTGTGAAAATAAACCATTATGAATGCAGAAGTGCCCCCACTAGAAGAGATCTACTGAGTGTCAATGGGTACTTGGAAAATTATGAGTTCATGGAATGTTCTGTGACTCCATTATCTTGGTGTAGGGAGAGATAGGCCATGCTTGAGAATACTAAATAGGTACATCAATAGCTACTCCTTTCCCTCGACAAGAGAGCAGGCTATTATGTAAACAATTAAGCTCACAAACAACACACACACACACACAAACTACACATCTATACTAATTGCTGTGGAAGAAAGGATTAAAAATTAGAGATTCAAAAGAATACTTGGAGAATGTTTACCTTGGAATAGAATGACTTTGAACAATTCCCTTGATCTTTGTGAGTCTCAGTTTTCTCACCATCAAGTGGGGACAATAGCACCACATAAAGATGTTGGGGAATCGAATGACATAACTCGCATTCAGTTTGTAACACGGTGGGCCTGACACATAACCAGCACTCCCCAAAAATGCTAGTTTTTATTATGGTTATCAGCTGCATAGAATTGTCTCTTACGGAGTGATTCTAATCTCAAGGCAACGTGTTTTGTGATATAGGATTTCAGGATTCAGTACAAACTTTATATTTAGGGACTCAGCAAATGTTACTATCTACTCCTTTCTGTGTTTAGAGGACTTGACAGGACAGATCACTTTAATAGAGAATTTATCGCTTGAGTCCATCCTCTGACATAGGCAACAGAGATTTCGATTTTCTTGGGCTCGGTTTCTATCAAAGGCCAATTATTTATCATCCTACTGTTGAGAAGACAGTTTGTTTTCATAACGGAAATCAGAAGGAAAACACGATTCACATTCTGAAAGATTGGTTGGAGACACGTTTCTGGAACACGGAGGTTTAATGAAGTGAGGAATGCCAACAGTGTGTCCCCTCCCTCTACCCTAACCTTCACGACGGAATCTTGGCTTTTCAACAGGTCTGCCCGCATCCCTGGCACGGTGTCTTTCTGAAACTCTCCAAAGCTGTCCGCCCCCCATTACAGTGCTACTAAATATAACGACTTCGCATGAGAGGAGAGAGGCCGGCCATTTTTAGAAAATGCAGGTGCCATGTAAGCCCCTTTCTGAAAGGAAGAACGTAGCTCCGTTGCCTTTGAAGAACTGAAGACCTGCAACTGAAAACTTTATTAATGCCATTGTCTCCTTGTATCAGCAGGTTCCAGAGAGATTCCTGGAAGTTGCGCAGATCACATTACGGGAGTTTTTCAATGCCATCATCGCAGGCAAAGATGTTGATCCTTCTTGGAAGAAGGCCATATACAAGGTCATCTGCAAGCTGGACAGCGAAGTCCCTGAGATTTTCAAATCCCCGAACTGCCTACAAGAGCTGCTTCATGAGTAGAAATTTTAACAACTCTTTTCGAATGTATGAATAGTAGCAGCCCCCTTTGGATGTCCAAGTTATACGTGTCTAGATTTTGATTTCATATGTATGTGTATGGGAGGCATGGATATGTTATGAAATCAGCCGGTAATTCCTCCTCATCACCTCTCTCTCCTTTTCTTTTGTTTTCCATTGCAAGGGGATGGTTAATTTCCTCCTGCCTTCCGTTTACTTTTGCCCAAGGCCCTTAACGTTTGGAGACTTAAAATAGGGTTAGTTTTCAGGGAACAGAGAGGAGTGTTGACGCGTGTGAAGAATATGTTCGCGAGGAAGGGCATTGGTTAAAGATGTTTCTGCTCCGCTGCTGCTTTGTGGCCATTGGCGGGAGGCAGGAGGGGACCTGGGACGCAGTTCTACTGAAAGTGATGTCTCTTGTTTTTTTCTGCTAAGAAGGTCAGAAAACTCAGTGACACCACTTCGTGAACTCACATAGATTGTTTGGTTTGAACTCAGTCAATCGCTTTTTATTACATGTTTGAAAACCATGCCAATGGCAGACGAGCAGCTCCCTTTCCAAAAGTAGTGCGAAAGGCCGAATTTAAAAAAGAAAAATAATCACTAACTGTCAAGCCTTTCCTGAGAGAAACAGCAAGTCCCCCAAACCAGTAGCGGTTTCCTATGGAGGCGGGACAGCTTTGCGCCAGACTGACTCCTTTAAGACGAGACTGGGAATTCACCCACGATCCTCTGCTCACCTCTCTAAATGTTACAGTGGGTTCTTCTTCATAATAAGTGAGTCTATATCCTTCTTCATAGAGAAAAAGCCCTAGAACATGTTATCACTTCCTATTTATTTTGCTTCAGATATTAAAAGGCACATAAGTTTCAAACTTACTTTGTTCAACTTTGTTTATATGCTTAAAATATTATTATTTGTTTGATATTTAACACCTTTTTTTTTTTTTGGTCAAAAAACCCTATTTTCTGAATACCTTTCTATAGTAAGGAATGAAGGGCATCACGTGACCATAAAATTCCTGCCTACACTAGAAGTTGGCTGACAGCCGCTAGCTTGATCCTCACTCCTAAGAGGAGCCCGGACGAGAATTACCTATTTCACGTACAATTCCGCACTTCCCTGATGGATAGTCAAAGTGGTGACAGTCTAATTAAGTGTGTCTTCATTTTAGGTATAGCATTGTCAAGCAACTGATAAAGTCTCTTCTAATTCAGAAGCTAGTATTGACCAAAACGTGAGGAGAGTGGATACATAGTAAAGTTTGGGGGTTGACCAGAAAGACACAATTTCAGCACACCTAAGAAAGCTAGCTGCTATTTTATGCTTTCTTCAATGGTTCTCTTTTTCCTTTGGTCTCGATTTCTCCGTTCTTCAAAGGCATACAACGTCCCATACTCGCTCTGAAAAAGTCGTGTGGCATTCACACTTGTTTTGTTAGGTGGGTTTTGTGTACAGATGCAGTAAGAATTCTTGTTCATTCAATAGGTTTCTTCAGATCTTCCCCTCCCCTTAGGTAATTTGATATACACCTCCTAAAATGACACGGTAACAAACGTGGTATTTAGATCATATGGAACATAAATACCATTTTTTCTTAATTTTTATAAAAATACATTTGACCTCAGAGAAGGCAGGTGCAACCCACGTGACTAGCTAACCTAATCGGTGCAGTTTGCCACCATTTATCAATTCTGCTGATGGCCAGGAATGGTGGAGGCAATGACTCAGCACAAAGCCTTAAAACCTGCTGACTTTAAAGGAAAAGGTCCCGTCTTGTGATGGCCTGCACCACTGAGTGGACTAACGGGCTGTCACGGGGGTGGACAGAGTGCAGCGATGGGCCGGACACCCACAGCCAACACATCGCCCGGCTGGGGGAAATACATTCGGATAATCATTACCTTGGAATAAAATGCAAACCCGCCCAAATCCAATGAGCACAAAGTAGGGAAGCAATGTCCACCCTCGGTCGCACTCTTTTCCCTTGCTTCATGTAAAAGAGAGTGACATTTACTGTCACGCCAGATACCACGGGGTCTTGACCAGTCCACGGAATTCATATCAACTGGGTTGCCATTTGCAAGGTAAAAGGCAAAGCCGTAGTGTATGCACCTATGCAGTCAGATTCTAGAATCTTCTGGAGGTGGGGCAAGTTCAGTATTGACTCCAGACTTACTTGGATTTTTAGTATCAGTCTCCCCTGCCTTTCTAATTTAAGTAGCCAAATTAAGCAAAAGTGTATGTTCACAGGCAAACGTTGGTGCGCTTATCAACGATAAAACCCTCTCAATGTTCACTGAGGCATCGAGATTACTTCAGAGTAGCAATTGAAACATGAGGATAAACTCTCTTCATTATTCTGAAAATAGAACTTGATCACTTTGCTTTTAGGTGGTTTCCCCCCCTTTTTACAATGGTAGAATCTTGTGCCTCCAAGTGCATGGGAAAATAGCAAAAGCCCGTCTCTCAAAACTCCTATTTAACAGTTGTGTGTGTTTTTTTAAATCACTATCTTTCAACTCTTAGCTTAACTCTCACCAAGTAGAAATGGGTTACGTGGGAGAAAGTTAACATCCTATGGTGGGAGGGTGAGCCATGAGGGACAGTTTGCATAGGGGGAAAAAGTCTAAAGTCCATGTTGAAATACCACACTCTCACTTATTTTCTGCTAAATTATTTTCGCATATACACTTGAGGTTATAGTCTGTGCCTAGACCTAAAATGCACCAGCGGGGGGATTTTTAAAAATCCTTCAAAATACCAGTTTTTTCCCACAAGTACAATTGTTCTTGTGCCTTCTGTGGCTTCCGACTTCATCCTTTTGACTTTATTTCCAATTACTACAGCTGCAATAAACACTAGATTTTTTTTTTCCTGGCTGTTTGACATAACATTGATAGCTATGCATATTTTGTGTCTTTTTAAAACAAAGCGGGAGAATACGTTTTTGAAGAAGAGAATTTTTAGAACAGTTTGATACCGCAAATTATTTTTTTCCTCAATTGTTTGAGCAGCATTCGAGTTTTGAAAATTCTTGTAGAAGCCAATTTTTTGTAACTGTGGTGCAAATCTTGTGTTTTCTTAGCCTAATAAAAAGTAGTATAGAAGCAATATTTCATATCATGTGCTATATATGTGTGTGCAGATGTGTGAACATGAAAACACATACACACATATACACACATGTAAAAATATACATATAGGTGTGTGTGAAGTGGAAAGCTTATCTTTTCCTATCTAGATTTAAGGACCTATTTTAGACATTTGTTATGTTTTGTGAAAAAAATGTTCTATTTGCAACAACAAAACATTTAATTCTTACTGTATCTCTGGCTGTTTGATGAGGATGTCTCACATGAAGTGGTAAAACAATGTGGAGATGGTAGAATGTAGTCATTATTTAAGGAAATCTTCACCCACATCTTCCTGAAGTTCGCTTTGTGCCTCTGAGTATTATTTAATTAAAGTGTTTTATGTTTTCAGAATCTTTGTTGCTGTGCTAGGGATGTGGGTGAACATCATTTTTAAGAATTTTAAAAACAACAACAACAAAAAAGCAAAACAAAAACACTAAAGCAAGAGGGGAACTTTTATAAAGCAATGTAAATATTTAACCTCATGGCTGTGGTTTCGTCAGACGTGAGATTTTCATAAATAACTACATTCTCACAACATCTGCTGAACCTATTACGAACACTACAGTGACTGTACAGACAGTTGAAAGCATCCTTGAAAAGCCTGCTCTCTACTTTTAAAAGGTGACAGCCTCTTTCATCAGATGTCAAGGGCAAGGGTAATGCGGTTTCTGTAAATTTATGAAATTTATTTTCTATGTACATGAGGACATATAGTAAGTAACCCCCCCCCCCCATACACACACATACACACACACGCACACGCACATGTACACACAGGTTAATTAAGTCATAAAGCTGAACATTTGGGGGCTTTAACTATAGCACAACTCCCCGAAACAATGAAGTTCATCAAAGAAAACGAGGTTTCCAGGCTCTCCTGAAAGTGTCCATGTGAGGACAGGGCAAATCCCTTTGCCGTGTATATTATAGAATATTCATTGGTGTGAATAGTACAAATGTTTCCTTCTGGTACAAACTCTGTGTTTGCAAATGACAAGAAGCATTGTTTTCAAAAAGCTCCCCTTAAAAGAATGTAACTGGTTTCTATGAGTGAGCGGTTACTGTATTGCACTTAAATGTTATGTTGAAGGAAATGCAGCTTTGTTTTCTGTAGGACTGTTGGTTGTAAACCATCTCTAAAACTAAAGCGAAAATGCTCGTATTCGGAGCTGGGATCAAAACTGGTATTTAACCTTTGCATCTTCTTATAAGTATCCTTCTAAGAATATAGCAGAGTCTGGAGCATCTGGGCTTTGAGTCTCTTCAGCTGAGCCGTCTTTCAAATCTGACACCCCCCCAAAATGCACACACCTGGGCAGAAAAGGGAAACAGACTGGCCTTCTGTTGTGAAAATGTATTCATCTTGTATTTTTAAAATATTGTAATCCTCCACGCCAGGGGTGGGGGGAAGTATTTTAAAATTGCTTATTATCACTTCAAAATGAGAATTCGAGAAACACGGGTGTTTGGGGTTGGTCTCAGCGCTGAAAGAATCAAAGGTCGTGCTTTCCCGATATTGTCCCAGCCATTTCTCATATGTATATAGTATAAACCGTGACAAAACACTGCCTTTATATTATTTAGCAATATGTTGTAAATAGCATTATTAAGCTCTTTTTTTTGTAATAAAGATCCTTTGATTTAAATATAGTACAATAACTGAACTGATAAAGTCAATTTTTTTTTTTTTTTTTTAGCTATAGGCAATTTCAATTGTGGATTTTTGTTGTTGTCTATTGTTCTGAAGACTTTGCATAATTTATTGGTTTAATTTATCCTAATTTATTTGATGAAGGTGTACAATTTTTGTATTACCAAGGATGTACTGTAATATTAATTGATATGATTTTAAAAAAATGAGACTCCCTGTCCACATTAAAAAGAAAATAAAAAGGTGCAGTAGACAATTGATTTTAAAGTAAAAGTAAAAAAAAAAAAATTTTAGTTTGGCAGCTACTAAATTTTAAAACAGGAAATACAATATTGTTGGGGGGAGGGGGGAAGGGGGATTTACTTTGTGTGTTTTAAGCTTTTGTATACTCTCCAAACTTTTACCTTTTTCTTTGTACCACTTAAAGGATACAGTAGTCCGATTGCCTTGTGTGCCTTCCATCTTCTCTTAAACTGAATGTATGTGCAGTATATATGCAAGCTTGTGCAAAATAAAATATACATGACAAGCTCCGTGCCTTTTGATTTTTTTGTTAAAACACGTGACATTAAATGTTTGGACCTGTGTTGGATGGTGAGATCCATTACAGACTCCGCTCTCTCCTTGCGGGTCTTAATTATGCAAACTGAACATCAGGCATGCAGCTCCTAGAAATGACCTTTCCTTTCCTCCAGACCCTTGTAGTCATGGGCTCTAGATGTCTCTCTGAAACCTCTTCTCACAGACTTGACTTGAACCCTCAAACCTTGAGAAGAACACAAGCGTTGGCTCAAAACAGTGTGAGCTAAATTCAGTTCAATTGCTGCAGTCCGATGAGTCAAAGAACAAGGAAAGAGGTTCTTCAAAGTCAGAGGATGGCAAATATGCTACTTGAAATATGGGGCATGAGGGTTTGTATTGTTTCTGCTCTGGCTGAACTGAGAACGAAGTGCTAATGTGAAATCACAAAACTTTTGTAAAATGTTCCTTTAGACATGATTGGCAGCATGTTTTATCTGAAGAACATTGGTTGCATGGTTTTAAAAAATTTCTTTTATTACCCTGGCTGGATGGCTCAGTTGGTTGGTCCTGTACATGGAAAGGTTGTAACCGGGCATTTGTGAGAGGCAACAGATCAATGTTTTTCTCTCACATCAATGTCTGTCTGTCTGTCTCTCTCTCTCTCTCTCTAAAAATCAATTAAAAAATATATATCCTTGCCCTGGCCGGTTTGCTCAGCGGTTAGAGCGTTGGCCCGTGGACCAGAGAGTCCCGGGTTTGGTTCCTGCTAAGGGCATGTACCTCAGTAGCAGTTTGTCCCTGCCCCAGTTGGGGTCATGCGGGTGGTGGCCAGTTGATGTGTCTCTCTCACATCGATGTTTCTCTCTCTCTCTTCCTCCTGCTCTGTCTGAGGATAAATGCAAAAATGTCCTCGGGTGAGGATAAAAAAAAAAATTTAAAAAAAAAACAAAAAACACATCCTCGGGTGAGGATTAAAAAAAATTTCCTTTATCCCTTTTGTTGTGGTTTAAAATCACATCAAATCAGAAACACGAAGAATTAGCAAAAATCACTGTGCACTTGAGATTTGTTAATACGCCAATCACAGCCGCACCTCCCAGTCTGTCTTCCATGTTATTCCAGACCGGCCGGCTCTTAATCTCTCAGATCTCTCCTTTTGTTTTTACCGAAATGGCGAAAACTTTACTTTTTGACCCTGTTAACACAAGGGTGCTTAGAATCAATGCAATATCAAAACCGTTCACTGATAGTATTTTTCCACCTTCAGCTCTTTTCCATCAATGGTCCACGTTTAAACTCCAGTCTTCTGAACTAAATTATTCAAAAGAGCGTGTCTCTCGGCCTCTCTGTGCCAAAATGTTCCCTCCCTGATAGGAGGAGAGAAGGAACCCCTCCCGCTCTTGAGAAGGAGAAGGCCTGTGCGGCAGTGTAATGACCGGCCTTCCTGTGCTGAGTTGATACTGATCTGCTGTAAAACAACCTGCAGAATCCAGGTAGCCACGAAAGCACTAAAAAGTCACAGCAGGTGGTGATGTTTTCTGTTAGGAGGTTTCTTCAAAATACAGCTTCACATCACTACTTTTGTGACTCAATTATCTGACGGCACTGGTCTGAAATAGTGTGCCACTAACCTCAGCAGTGACCTGGTCACACCTCGTGTTCCACACACATCTGCCCCCCTGTCTGCCAGGTATGTGTTATTCTTGACAGTGTAAGCGTCACCAGCTAATAGTAAAGAAAAGGCTGGTTTTGTTTACTCGTCATTTTTCATCATACATGATTTACAATTTTTTTCTTAAAGACTAACAGTGGAAATGATTGCATTTTTCCAAGTAATGCAGTAATACACACGGAAGTGTCAGATAGAGGCCCCTGAATAAAAATCAGAGGGAAACATCAACTATTTGCATGGTATCAGCAGGTTTGGAGGGGTTAACATTCCTATATTTTAAGGAGCATAAAATACAGGAAGCATATGTAAAGGAAAACGGCTGATGTTAGGAATTTTAGAAAACGGCCCATACGATGCCTAAGCAACACTCTGAAAGATTCTTGAAGAAAGAAAAGGTGCTCCACCCCCTTCACCAACAATCTAACTCTCTGGGGGGAGATTCAAGACTCGGAGGTGAACACCTGACAGGGGAAGCTATAAACTAAATTTAAAATGTTCAGGACAAAGACCGCCTCCTATCGATTCATTTCTCAAATCTTTACAGGCGCACCCAGGGAAACCAAGGTAAGTCACGTAACCCTTGAGTGTCCGGGGCAATCGAAAGACTTATGAAAGGCTAAAGGATTTTTAGACTCATTGCAGCCACCACGTGGACTTTGGAGGACTTCTGTGTGAAAAAACAAAGACAAGTTTTCGGATTGTCTTGTCTCTGGGCTCCACCTCCCTTCAGCAAGCTCTCTGCCCCTTGCCGAGCCCTTCGTGCCCCTGGGAAGCCCCAGCCCTCCCTCTGTGTGCTGGGGTGAGCCACCTGGTGAAGATAACGTTAAGACATCACCGTCTTGGTGTTTCTCTTACAGTGGCAAAGACATAAAGAGATACGTGGTGCACAGGAATGCATCTTACGTGTTCATCTAGGGTCCAAGGACACCGAATGTCGAGTGACAAGGGGCTGGAGGCAAACGTAAGGCCAGGTCTTCCCAGTATCACTCACGGCTACACCTCGCCTGAATGTAGCACCGTCTGCCCAGGTGTTTCCGCCTCTCGGACTTCCTTGCCCTCCCTCTCAGGAACTTGTGTCCAGCCCATGGTCAGAGAGTCCCTCCAAATGTCCCCAAAATCATTCATAAGAACTCACAGGAGGGGGGACTCTTCTCCACTGGAGACTGGTTCATTTTCCTGCTTACAGAGGAAAATGTGGACATTAAAGACGTTTGAGAGGTCATCTAACTCAGGTTTCTATTTCCTAGATCTCTCGGGTGATGTGCTACTATCTCAGGGAACACCAGACTGGGACCTCTTTAACCAAAGGTGCTTCCTCTTTATATTGGGGTGCAACAACATGATCATTGAAGAAGAGTAGTTACTTGCTGAAAACAACAATGATCTCACCGAGGATGGTCAAACAGATGGATGGGTATGAATGTGGGTGATACATAACAAGTAAGGGCCGCCAGGCCTTCATTTAAAGACAGAGACCTCTGCTGAGCAACACAACACTCGTCTGGGAGAGCCAGAGATCTTTAAGGGTGAATGTAAAAATGAAAACAAATAATAGCTTATGTGAGTTCTATCAGACCTTCAGAAAAGAGATTATTTTTACACAGTGGGAACAGCACAGAGCCTGGCACGTGGGATTTGGGTAAATCCTGTTCATTCCCTTTCTCCTCCTTCAGTGGGTGGCTCTGTCATCTCGCCAAGCTTTTTAAAGTTGTGATTGAAGAATGGTACCCAGACCCATCCCAGCTTCCCAGGACATTCAAATGTGAATAACACAGAAATTCTCCAGGAAATGAAAGCGTGGGTCCCACGTCTACCACTTTCCCAGGCCCTAGCCCTCAGCCTCAGACAGAGCTGCTGTGGCCACGCCTCTGCCGGCC